GGGGAGAATGAATGAAGATGAGATAGCGTGAAGGCCGCTCCAGGGGTCTGGCAGGCAGCAAGGCACTCTGGAACACCAGAGCAGGACGTGAAACTCAGTCATGGAGTCATCTGCACCATGGTTTGGACAGGGACAGCCAAAGGAGGAGAAAGGTTATTAATAGATGGCTCCTAGAATGTTATAAGCAAGACAGAGAGAGAGAGAGAGAGGTGTCAGATTTAAAAAATGAAAAGATGGGAAAGAATGAAACCAACAAGTTATTGTGACCCATCAAAAGATGGGTGATCCTGCAACCAGCTGACCCTAAAGATGAACTGAACTTTCTTTACACCAACACCCAAGCAGAGCAGGACCAAAAATCCCAAGTTAGTCCAAGGAATGAAACAGCAACATTACTGAAAGTCTACTGTGTATCAGATACTGCACTCGGTGTACATACCTTCTCTCATTTAAATCTCTATGCCAACCCATCCTGAGGGCTGTGCTTATGGCCATCAATTTACAGATGGAAAAACAGATTCACGGAAGTAGGGTGACGTGCCCACACTCATAGACTAGACAGTGAGGAGGGTGGATAACCTGACAGATGTTTATTAAAATAACACCTACTACTTGCCAGGCACTGTGGGAAACAATGGTGAACAGATAGATACAGTCCTTGGCGTTAAATTCAAACTCAGATCTGACTCCCAAGCTCATCCCTTTCTTCCTTCCACCACTACTTTGTACTTTTATAAAAGAAGTCCCTGGTCTGACTCAGTTATAGGATTTGACTAATACCATGCCACCTCCATACTGCTGAAATTAAGCCTAAATTTTTTATTTTTTTAAAAAAAGCATTATTGCTTGGCTGCAGAATATGCTTTTACACTTTCTTTTAAAATTGTGATGATCATAGGAAGTCATAGTACTTTGTATTCAACCACTCATTCATTATTCATATTTTAAGCAAGAAAAACTAACATGAACTTTCAGGTCAATAGAAAGGAACAGTTTACATCAAAGCTTGGGCTTTCTCACTCTTGCAGTCCCATCTTCCCTGAATCAGAACAATTACTATAGCTTCACAATAAACTGCCAGATCAGAGTACAGAGTAAAATCTAGTTACATCAAAGTACTTAATTAACTTGAACAGATCACACTAGAAGGAAAAAAAAAAAAAACCTATACAAAATTCACATATTTTTCATATTTAGGATCTTAAAAATTGAAATATACATGGAATTCTATGACAATTAAAAAACATTTCTTCATTCACTGAAGAAATACTTATTAAGCAATTATAAAGCATGAGGCAACATTATAAATGTTGTGAGAGACAAAGCAATTACTATGACAAGATACTGTTTCCAGGTATCTTGGTGTTTCAGTGTAGTAGAGCACAGGACAAAGAAAACAAACATAATTCTAGTTTAGGGCATGTGGCTGATGGGAGACAATTCTCCAGGAGTCTCTTCCATTTCTGCATATATTGTTGTGAGACAAGTATCCTTTGTTCTGAACCTTCTTTTTAAGGATGTTTCTGTAATCCTCCAGAGCAAAGGGCAGGCAGGTTTGCTTACAATCCTAGAAGATTTAGTGTTTCTTTGCAGAGCAGAGGGTAGGCATGCTTACTGTCCAGCACAATAACATCTCCCTCCAGAGCAAAGGGCAGACATGTTTACTACCTGCTATAAAAGATTCTGGTCCTTTAATCATAATGATCCTCTCTTATAACACAACCCGCCCTGTGTGCAGTAATGCAAAACCTGGCCTCTTTGTGCCATCCTGTGGGAACCCGGGCTCAGAGAAAAAAAAATACTGATACTAAGATACTGCTATTGCTGTAATAAACTATCCTTTGTTTTTGACTTAGGAGTCTCATGTCTTCTACCAGCATCTATAACACTGTGGGGTAAGCCAATTACTTAGCTTGTAAGTAGGATAAAATCAGATGCTTGATAGTTTTTGACAGTGGTAGGCTACAAAAATGACAATAAATTATTATATCCATGCCCTTTAGTATATACCCTCTCACACTGACTCTGGGCTCGGCCATGTGACTTGCTTGGTCTAACAGCTATTAGCAAACGCTATACAAAAAGAAGCTTGAAAAGAACCTGTACATTGAGGCTTGCCCTCCTACCATTCTTAGGATTTAGTTGCCATGTGAAAAAGTCTAGGCTATCTGTTTGTGAGAAATGCATGGCCCAGTTTCCCTTATCACTGCAGCCAACAGCGTACCAATCACCAGACATGTAAACAAGGCCAACTTGGATCCTCTAGCCTCCAACCAACCCTCCAGTCAATCACTAATGCAAGAGTAAATCCAGCAAAGATCAGCTGAGCTAGCAGACTAGAACTATTCGGCTTCTAAGTTTTGGGGTGGTATGTTATGTAGCAAAAACTAATAAAGATACTGGGTACAAGGCAAAAATTACTTCCAGTATAATATCTACATTACAAGCTCCGGTAGGGCTCAGTCTACATCTGGTTAAATACTGTAACTCCAGCACTTAGCACAGTGCCTAGGAAACAGTTAAGTGTCAATTATCCCAACTTTGTTTTGTTTTCTCCATCTGAACAATCAGTGCACAAGTCATTGAATTTCCACCTTACAAACAGGTTGTGAGATTCAAGTATCTATGTATGGAATCCAGCAGGGTGCATAGCTTAAGTGAAAAAACTTGGTACTCAGGAATACAGATACGTGAAAATCAGCTGTTCTACTTAATATCTGGCAGTCCTTGGACAAATTATTTAAACATATTAGTTTCCTCACTTGCAAAACACAAATAATAAAATTTTCTTCACAGGCTTTATGATAAAAGCTGTGGTGCCCAACTTCCGGGCCACAAACTGGGCCGCACAGTAGGAGAGCAAGGGAGCAAAGCCCCACCTGCATCCACAGCTGCTCCCCATCTCTTGCATCACCTCCCGAGCCCTGCCTCCCATCAGATCAGTGACATCAGACCCCCATAGAAGCATGAACCCCACTGCAAACTACACATGCACACTCCCCATGGGAATCCAATGCCTGATGATCTGAAGGGGAGCTGAGGTAGCAACACCCCTACCCCCGCCCCATCCATGGAAAAACTATCTTTCATGAAACTGGTCCCTGGTGTCAACACGGTTGGGGACCACTGAATAGGTATCACAAAGGAGGCACTATCTGTGCACAACCTACCAAAGTATGAGGGGCATTATGGTGGAAGAGATGAAAAACTAGGAATAGCAGCAAACACTGTTAAATGCCAAGAAGTGAAGTGGTTTCTCACACCCCCATGCATGCACTCACTCACATCCTCTCTCCTCTTTCTTACACACATAAACACATGCACCAAATCAAACCATTTCCCAAAATTAAATTCAAAACCCAGTAGGCAGAGACCTCAGTGGAAAGATGCTAGCACCAAGACTACCTCATGGTCTACAAAAAAGAAAAAACTCCTTATATAATGTGCACACAATCCAAAGTGTTTTGTTGATTCAAAAGCCCCTCTGAATAATATAACCTTTCTGGAAGATTAATACCTGACAATGTGAGGGTGTGTAAAATGTATCATTATATTAATGGAACTAAAAGATTACAGATATTCTGCTTCATTTCTGAAGTCTAGAATTAAATCTCTACTTTTTATTTTAGAAACAGACATTTCAAATAATTGCCTCTTTATCCTCTACATTACTCAGTTTTATCACATTTAAAACAATTTTTTTTAAAAGGTTTTCTTTTATAATTTGGCATCTTAGAAAATTCTCTGTGACTGCTAGTTGGCAACTGAGTACAGATGACATTATTTCTTAAACATCAAAAATAAGATTATTATTACAAATATCCAAACCAACCTACAAATTGACCATGGGCCTAAGTTGGTTGCTGTATTATTTTGAGACTTTGGCAAGAGAAATAGAAAAAAAAAATTACAATTAAATTTATATTTTCATTTATACAGAGATTCATACTGTTATGTTTCAAAAGTATAATCTAGTCACTAGTTAACTGAAATAACATGGAAAAGGAAATTAAATAAGAATTAAAATCATATATATTTTCAGCAATTATTTCAAAAAATTCTGGTTAATACTTGTTCAGCTTTGCTTTCTTATATTCATATACGAGGTAGAACAGCATGCTGGTTAAGAGTCAGACATGGATTTCAATTCCAGATCTGCCATTTAGGAATCGTGTGACTTCTTATTTAACCTCTGAGTTATTGCAGATTACTTAGCCTCTGAGATTCAGTTTCCTTATATGGAAAATGGCGATTTGAATAGTATGTATATGTTTGTACAAAGGGTTGTTGTGAGGATTAAATGAGATACACATACAAAGTCCTTTGTCCAACACCTGAATCACAGGAAGTGCTAAATAAGTGGCATTTAGTCAGCTATAACGATACTGTACACTTTCATCTTCATAAAAGCAACAACCTTATCACCACATATCATTAGCTGTTGGGAACCAAACTCCAAAGTTCTACTAAACAAGCCAATGTGTCTTTTTCGGCCACAGGTGTCAACCATAAAGGTCCATTAGGCCAACTGCATCTCTGTCCCTGGAGTAAATAATCAGAAAGCATTAAGAACACGTATAGAAAATAAAAAGTCAGGAACACTACACGCATTTAGAGACATTTTTATTTTAACAAATTGTATTACAGATTGTTGTTCTGATCTTGAATCCAGAAATATCCCTCCCTCAGCCCGCACCCCCATACAGAGCACTACGGTGCCACGTTTTCTCACAGTGGTCAAGTGCCAAAGGCCCCTCGGCTCAGATGCGAGGGGAGGTCTGCTCTCCAGCAGAGGGACATCCAGGTGGCCAGCCCAGGGAGCACCCCAACAGGCCCCAGATCACATTCTGCCCAGGAAAGAACATAGGTCCCCAACATTTACAACTCTGAGGTGGGGGTAGCATCTAATTGTTTTGTGGTTGAGGAACAATTCCAGAAACACTGTCATCCTCTGTTTATTGATACCTTAAGAGAAACAAACACAAACTACCCTGACTCACCCGGAAATAGTCACTGCACGCTGCCAGGACTGCCTTGTGAGCATGGAATTTCTGCTCCTCAGCGATCAGGGTGACGTCGCAGAGGATGCCGTCACTCCTCTGCTGATTCAGTGCTGCCAGGACACTATCATTGTGAGATTCGGAGTGGCAAAGCCTCTGGCCTGTCAGCATTTCTTGAATACTGCAAAGGAGAGCAATCAAGTCAACGTTCTTCCTTTCACCAGCCCCTCTGCCCTATGCTCTCTCCTCCCTCAGCACCTGCTGAGGTGACACGGGCTCATGCACTGGACGAGCAGGACCTTCCCGTGCCCCACTTTCTTTCTTTCCACCATTCTCTTCCTCTCCTTTCTCTGGTCCTCTCTTCTCCTCACCCCCATAGGGTCTTGCTCTCTTTTACTAGAGCCCCTCTTTCTGAATTTGTGTTTGTGTGTCCATCTATGTCTGCATACTAGCCCAGGCCTGCAGACCTGTGAGCCTCTTTTCCTGGGCCCAGGTCCCCTCAGTGCATAAACATCTGTGAGTGCGAGACTTTCTTTAGATGTGTGTCCGAACGCATGTACATGAGTGCACGTGGCCCTTCCCGCTCTGTGACCTGCTTCTCTAACTCTCTGAATCCTTCTCCAGCTTTGTACCTTGCCATATCTTCTCACAGGACACAATACTCCATTAATAAATACAAGCAAACTAAGCAAACACTAGTTAGAACAAAAAGTGCTGCAAGTGACCATTCCATGTAGAAGACAATTAAACCATAACAGCTTATTATTAAACTTGGGAAATTATGCACCGTAAGAATAACAGCAAAAGAAATGCCATTGTAAATGAAAACGAACTTAAAGCTGACAGTAAAATTTATCCATATTGTCAGCCTTCAATGTCTATGTGTGATCATTATACTAGATTTATAAATGACTACACAATTCTATTTTATTTTCTATTTTGTGAGATTGCTAAACTTACCCATTGTGAAACTTACTCCTTCAATCTCTATCCCAACCTAAAACATTTATTTATCCTTAGGTCCTTTCAAAACTTCTATGTGAAACTCTAGATTGTTCTAAAATAATGCCATAAACACAAAATGTAACTGAATTTATAGATAGCTATGGACAATTCCAGCTTAAATCAAGGAAAATCTCTAAAGTGCTCTAAGATCTCAGAACTGGTATAGGACTAAGATGGCTGATCTGTGCCAGTAATAAGTACCCCCAGGATGAGAACAAGGGCCATCGAGCCCTATTTCTGGCCAGCAGCCTGTAGTCAAAGCTGAGTAAAGATATCACAGGGATGAGTGAACCTTGTTTCTTCCCCTGATAATCCCTCTCTTTGAGTGTGAAAGAGCTGCCCAGAGGAGCCAGAGATTTACCACCTGCCTAGTCTGCATGGTTGGTTTATTTAACAGGGCTCTGTCCAGCCTGTGGTGCCAGTTGGCTGGTAAATTACAGTTAAACACAAATCACCACCTTAAAATTAACCAAATGCTTCCCGTGAAATGCCAAAGTGTGGTCAGCAGCAAGTTTTATTGGATGGTGTTGACTGGGAAGCATCAGAAATGTCAGAACTATGAAAAGAAAAGAAAACTGACAAAAGGTGATGAGATAGGAAGTTCTCGAGGGAAGGTAGAAGGATTATTTTCTGCTGAAATGTAGCAGTGAGCTTTGAAATGGTTCCTGTCATCAAATTTATTCATGTAGTGGCTCAAGCTATGGCACACTTTTAAAATCAGTAATTGAGAACTGCATTCAGAAATATAGTTTTTTATAAATTCTATGCAAAGCCTAGAATGGAGATTAATTAGCACCACTCAGTTAAAGAAATGAAGAAACAGAATAGTAATAGAAATACAGCTAAGCAAAGCTTTACGATACGCTTTGAAAAATCTTTCCTAAATGATGCCATTTTTATATATTTAACAAACACATAGTGTTTATCTTGTTCCATGAACTATTCTTAGTGATTTACAATGATTTATTCATTTAGTCTTCATAACAACCCTATGAGGCAGGTACTATTAATACCTCTATTTTATAGATAAGAAAACTGAAGGTCCAAAATCAGGGACTTTGAAAACATATAACCAAGAATACAATAATGTAATTCCTCCTCCTGTTTACAATAAAAAAAAAAGGTAATCTGTAAAGATCTCAAAAATCTATGCTTGAGGGGAAAAAAATCACAAAGTCCCTATTAATTTTATATTTATATTATATATAATTAATCTAAAAATTGGCCTTTCAGAATAATACACATGAACATAATAACATGAGATAGCAGTAAGAAATGCTTGATGTCATGCTTCAAAAACATTTATCTTCATACTGTTACTAAAAGTTTAAGGATAGAAAATAGACCATAATTATTATAACCTTAGAGAATGTATTTGAAACTTTCATAACTTCTTTTCTCTCCTTTTATATCACCTTAAATGTTAAATAAATGTATTTTGAAGTTTCATTTGTAGTGGAACAGAATATATTAAAATAATTGCCTTAAAATGTTTCCTTACTCATTTTCCAAATATAGTGCCACAATTCCTCTCCTCATTATTAAGACTGAATCAGTATTTGCATTTTAGATGTCTACTGAGCGTGAATAAATCTTGCCAGGGAAAGAGCAGCTGTAAACTGAAATTTGGCAAAGAATAAAAGGCTCAGCTTTGAAACAATAGTAATGCTGCACGATTTCACAGGATCATTCAGCTGGGCTTGAAATATTCAAGCTTAAAGAAAACAAGACACTAAATATTTAAGACAACACTTGGCACAAGATCCCAAATATTTTGGAACCAATATGTTAGGAATCCTTAAAAGCAGAAACAAATACTCCAACATTTGGTAAGAAATAAAGGCTTATTAATCAACAAATTATTATTGTATTCTGAAAGTAACTTCCCACTCAACTCTCAGATGTAAATCTGCAAGAGACCTCAGCCTTCTAAATGTTAAGGCACATGTGGCCACAGAACACAGATGGAAGGCGACAGGCCCATTTTATGAAGCCAGTAATCATAAACCACGGAGGAGATGAATCAACAACTATAATGTGCAACATCTAAATTAAGATGGGGAGCAGACACATGCTTGCAAACAGCTCCCTTGGCATCAATAACATATATTGAATTAGCAAACTAAACCTCCCAACTTAGAGCAATATCCTTCCATTATTTAAGAAACAAAGAAAAAGGATAAAAACCCATATCCTAAAATTTCTAAATTACTGGAAAAAGACATAAAGCAGGAGCCACATTTCTCAAGGGAATACAGATTTGAGCATCAACCTAAAGTTGGGAAAGTTCTTCTATAGAAGCAATGCTGCCACTTCCAAATTCATAAGTGAATGCAGAGTGTCCTGGCTTTCCCAATGCAACTCTGATACCCTTTTCTCTGAGGGATCCCCTAGAACTGCATTGTCCAGTACAGTGGCCACTAGCTACGTGTGGCCATTCAGCACTCAAAATGTGGCTAGTCGAAATTGAGATGTGCTGTAAGTATAAAGTGCACACTAGATGTCAAAGACAATATGAAGAAAAGAATGCAAAATATCTCATGAATGTTTTTGTATTAATTGCACATTTAATTTATAATATCAATATTTGAGGTATATTGAGTTAAATAAAATATGTTATTAAAATTAATTTTACCTGTTTCTTTTCACCCTTTTTTTAAATGTGGCTGCTTGAAATTTTAAATTATATATATGCTTCCTAATTATGGTTCTATTAGATGGTCTACAAGTTCACAGTGTGATATATCACTCTATTTCTTTCCACTTGAACTTTGTAAGGGCTTTAGGCAACCCCCATCAGCTGCCAATGAGGACTGTGGTTCTTGTATCTAGCAGGGCCCAGACTAGGCCCTGGTGCAACAGCAGAAAGCCCCAGCTTCCATGAGCAGCAGATTGCTTTTTAGTAATGCCAAGGAGCAACCATTTGATCAGCCATATGTCAGTATTAAGTAATGGGGAGATAAATAAATGAGGTCTCAAGAAACAGGACTATTCATGACTTTAAGCCTTTAACTTTCATTCTTGAATTGATCACAAAAACTAATAAATCACATGCACAGCATGATGTTCAGAGTATCGTACGCTCTACTCAAAGAGAATCACTGCTTTAGTGAAAATCACTACTTTGAGTTCCTAGAGTTAACATTTTTTTAGTCACAGAAATCCCACAGGGTCTCATTTTCATAAAATAAATTTTGAATGAGTTCATTCGGTTTTTAAGATGTAAATTCTGAAACAGCTATATGGTTTTAAACATCTGCATTCAAATTTAAAAATTCCAGTCAATTTCTATATCATTGTTTACCTACTACTGAGATATACAAAAAGTATGCAAGTAGTTTTCAAGTAAAACTATCAATAAGGTGTTACATACTTACATGTCAAAAACAGTCAAGTAGCATAAAAACCCTCATTTCTTAAATAGACTACACAAGAAAGAAAAAGACTGGACAAAAAAAATCTGGTTGTAATAGAATTATGCATGATTATCTCAATTAAGTCTACATGTGAACTATTGAGTGTCCTAATCATTTCAGTTATATCATCAAAATATTTTTATACAAATTACATGTATTAGTATTTTTAAAATTCTATTTAAGTGGGCAGGCAATTAAAATATTCTGTAATAAAACTTACTTTTATTTTTATAGAACACTTTATAATTTATAAATACTTTTAAATGAATGCTAATAATAGCAATGGTATAATAATAAGTAAAGAAGATATAATATGGTTAGAGAATGATTAAGCAATAATGAAGACTATATAGATGGGAAATTAATTATAATTGAACAGTTTTATTTCCTTCCTTCCCTCATTCACTCACGCAACAAATATTTACTCAGCCTGTGGCAGGTATTGTGCTAGGTACTGGGGAGAAAACGCTGAGTAAACCATATGTGGTAGCAGCCCTCATGGAACATTCAGTTTAGCAGGGAAGTTACACATTAATCAAATGATCTGGCCTTCCTGAGGAAGTAATACTTGAGCTGCAGACTGAAGAATGAGACCAAGTTACCCTGGCAAAAAAAGAGAAGGTTTTCCAGGCAGGAGGACAGCAAACGCTATGATCCTGTGGCAGGACAGAACACGGCCCTTACACAGTGTGCACGGAATGTTAACAGCCAGAACCCTGAAGACAAAGGAGAGCGTGGTACAGGTGAGCATCAGAGGCCAGAGCCTACCTGTACAGGACTTTGGGGCCAGGTTATCCTAAGGGCAATGGGAAGTCACAGCAAAGATCACTCAGGCTGCAGCACTGAGAACAGTCAAGGTGCCCGGGACAGACTAGCACAGACCTCGATTGTGGCTGTCCTTAGGTGAGTGATGGACCTGTGCCTTGGACAGGGGCATGAAGACAGAGTTTCAGAGAGGTGAATGGGTGTGAAAGCTATTTAGAGGGAAAATCTACAGGCCTTGGTGATGGGCCAGATATGGAGGGGAGTGGGAAGGAGATTTCCAGGAAGACACCTACATTTCTGGCTTATGCAATTTGATAGTCTCAGAATAGGAAACCAGTGGAAAAGGATTAGAATTGCAGAAGAGAAAGATGATGAATCTGGTTTGGGACATGTTAAGTGTGAGTTGTGTTTAAGACACCCAGGCACAGATGTCAAATATGTAGTTTGATTCATGGATCTGGAGCTCAGAAAGAAGTCTTGGCTAGAGAAGTAAATCTGTGACTCATCTGCATAGAGTGGGTTACAGAAGCACAGCTGTGTCTCAAGAACACAGTTGAGAGACGACCAGCAGCACAGGCTGCTGAGAAGATAAGGAAGATGGGATTCAAAGCACAGAAGCAGGACTGGGCTTGGTTCTGAGAAAAGACTGGTCGCTTGAGTAGCAGGAAATAAGCGGACCAGAAACAACATACTAAAACTCAGCATTGTTTGGTTTGTTAAATCTAAGTATATTGTGGAGTCAGTCTCCACTAGACAATGTAGTCATGGAACTATGAATAGTTGGGTTCATCTGGATTGGGACTTTCAAATGTAAAAGGGTCACAGAGTTAGTGAATTTAAAAGGAGAGCTTTATTTCTAAGGGAATTGTGTCCTACAGACAGGAAGCGTTTTTGGTTTTCCCACCAAAACCATAAAGTCATGCTTCAAAGGAGAGAAAGAAGTAGGTATATATGTTAGATGGGGCGGCAGGGTATACATATTCAATAGGATGTAAGAAAGTTCATGAATATTCATGGTGAAAACCCATACACATAAGCATGAGGTTTACATGTAAGTAACACATGGATACCTATGACCCATGTTCTCGTTGAAGTAGTTTTTAAGTCGTTGGGGCCGAGATTTAACATTTAAATGAATTAAAATTAGGTCTCATATATAAAAAGGTAAAATTCAGGGCACAAGTCCACGAACTATACATCCTCAGGAGACAGGCCAAAACTCTCTGCAGCTGGCAGTCATCCATCAAGAAAATATTATTTGTGGTGCAGAAGAGTTGACATTTCAGAACCATAAAAGCAGAAGGATGGTGCAGGGTGGCCAGATGAAGTAAGGAGGGATCTTCTGCCCTTTTGTTTTTCTCAAGCTAGTCTCTGATAAAGTCTAGGAATGATTACTAACACATTGGGGGTGAAAATAAACAAGACATGACCACTCTCTCATCCTGCCATGCTGAGCGCTTTAAAATTTGGTGTTTTTACCCAAAAGAGTGGGTCCGTTAGTCTCTTGGAAGGGTTCAGAACTTTTATTGTAGTCCTCAGGATCTTCTCAAGAAGTGGTAGAATCTAAGCAAGAGTGATAGAATCTAAACTGGTTAAGAAGGGAAATGAAGGAAAGAAAGGCTTGGTGGGTTGGTAGAAAACAGCAGGTCCAGTAGATGAGACAATGCAGTAAGGTCAAAGTATAACCATAGTGAGGAGAGGTACATCAGCAAGCTAGAAGGACAGGCAGCTATGGTAAGAGTGATATGGCTGATGCAGTGATTTCAGAAATAGAGCAATCACTGGGGATGACAAAGACAAAGGTGTGACTGTGGCAGCAGGTGGCTGAAAAAGGAATTCTTTGGAGGTAAGCAGGCTGAGAGCCTCAGGGCCACAAAGTTGGATAGATCTTCCGTGCTGACACTGAGGGCTCTGGGGGTTATAAGGGGTTTGTGATGGGGAGGAAGATGGCAACCAGATAAGTGCACAGGGCTCAGTACAAGAGGGGCAATGAGGCTGACCACAGTAAGAAGAGGAGAGGGTGAGAGAGATGAAGAATGCCACCTTCAGAAGAGCATGCCTTTGTTGTTTTCATTGCTGTGGCTTTCCTAATTAACCATGTTGAGGAGTAATGATCTGGAAGCCAAATTACATCCCAAGGTAACTACAATCTCTCTAGGCATTCCTGAAATATATGAGATATGAAGAAATAATAACACCACTACTTGAGAGGGCTACAAGAGAAGTGGTCTTCAGGGGACAGCAGGTCTCAGTGAAGTGGAATGTGAACAGAGCTTTTGGGGAGGAGGGAGATGATAGTGTAGGATCATACTGCTACATTCCACAAGACATAGTGGTAGAGTCTGAGAGGTCGGAAGGGAGGGCTCTGGGTTGAAGCAGAGAAGGAGAGACCGTTATAGAAATTATTCTGCTGTGGAGGACAGCAGATGAGAGCTGATGATGGTGGCATGAGAGCTGATTAATAAAAATAAGAATGGCAGACTTAAAGAAAAAAAATCATTTTAAGAATGCACACTAATCTTGGTAGCCAGAAATAAATAACTTGGCTGAGGTGGTGGCAGATAGATACCATGGTCTCCATGTGCTATACTGGCTGCACGCCAGATCTAGAGCAGGGTTTCTCAGCCTTGCTACCACTGACATTCTGGCTAGATCGATTTTTGCTGTGGGGGGCTGTCCTATGTATTGATAAGATGGTTAGCAGGATTCCTGACCAATTTTACCCCTACTCCCAGTGATAAGCAAAAATGCTGTCATTTTGTCAACAATGTTGTCATTGCACAATGTGCACTGGTGGCAAAATCATCCTCCACTGAAAATCACTGATGGAGAGCAACAGACTCACATGGGGAGTGCAGAGGTATTACACCTGGTATAGCAATGTCACCATTTCTGAACACATTTCTGGAACTAGTCATCTGTAATAGCTTCAGAGTCGTGAAAGGAAAGAAGCTGGTCTCATTATTTAACAGACAGGCCCAATTCTTTAAAAAATGTATATTCCCCAGGTTTATCACATCTCTTATTCTTTGCTATGAAGATCTTTTGACTGTTCCCTGGAGGATGCCTCAAACTTACCTCCAGTGAGAATATTCAAACAAACGTCATGCATTTTCTCATTGGCTGCCCCGGACTTTCTGGAATGTGCCAAGCTCCCTCCTGCCTCAGGGCATTTTCCCCTTCAGATCTCAGGTTAGAGAGCACTTCCTCAGGAAGGCATTTTCTTCTCTTCTCCATGGTGTACTTTTCCTTCAGAGCACTTTTCACAATTATATTCGCTTCATTACGGGTGTGACTGTTTGTTAATATGTGTTTCCTTCATAGAATACACATTTTAAGAGGGCAGGAACCGTATCTGTTTTATTCATATAGCAGGATCCTCTGCACTAGAGTGGTTGACTCAATAAATATCCACGAAATACTTGAGAATAAGCATTGCATTCCTCAAAGGGATTATTTTAAAGGGGACAATATTCATATATATGTATGTAGTTTTTTGATTCTTTTTTCTAATTATATATCTTTATAGCAGTATACCTTTTGTTCAAGGGAGGTGAGCATCATAAATAAGAAAAAGATTTTAAAAAGTAGTATCATATAAAGAATCATGAAACATATGTAGGTTTGACCAGTAACTAGGTCATAGCAGTTCGTCCTTGTGCCACCATAGTAAACTCACAAAAGCTCTGAGTAGTTTGTTTATTCCTTCAAATATGTGTTAAGCCCCCTGCTTTATGCCGGGTCCTAGAATGGGCAGTGCAACAATGTCCCGGCTTACAACACTAAGCAAGGACACATTATACAGGGTGTACCTGAGGCAGCATTCAGACGGCATTCTCCAGCTGGGTTCCTCAGGCTCTCAGTCTTAGAAGTTTGCAGAGGAATCAGTAAGCATTCCAGCTGAATAAAACAAGAAAAAAGAATACATTGAGCTATATGCAAAAAAAAAAAAAAAAAGCAGCATGCTCTGGGTCTTCATCATGCTAAAGCTGATGAAGGATCCCAAGGAGGCAGCTTGGAGAGTTTTACCATTGACACAGAACATTCTACACAAGGCTCAAGCAATGGTTCTAGATTTTTTCAAGTTTTTTCACATTGTTGAAGCCTCAAGCCTCAAAGACTAGGAAGTAAAGTGTGTTCGAGAATCAACAATAGCAACTTCAATTAAAAGTTGAAGTAAAAATTAAAACATCAGATAGCAAAAGGGAAAAATGAAGATTTGATAATATAAAGCTATAAGGGTCTAAACCACAAATACTAGTTGATTTGTCCTTCGTAGAGATTTTACTTTCCTTGCAAACATGATTACTGACATTAAGTTAAAATAAGTACCTTTTGGCTAAGCAGAAATATGATTTTCTACTCAAAGAGCAGATTTCTGAAAAATTAGATGGAAAAAAATAACACAAAGAGAAGATAAAAATTAGTAAGAAATGAAAAATGGATTCTTACAGGAACTTCAGGATTAGCATAACTGAAATATATAATAGGATGCAGTTGACAGGCTTGAAATTGTTCCTTGGCCATATACTTACTTACTTAGTCCCTGCCCCACCTTTGCCTTTGTTTTTAATCATTGAAGTAACTCTCAACAGAAAAATAAATTATTTCAATAGTCTCAGACCTGGTCCATTGACTACATTTTACAACTCTCATTGGAGGGGCTAGCTCCCATTTTCAAATATACCCAAGTGGCAGAATTAATTATAATCTGGATAAGCTAAACTGGCTTCCTTCTGTCTCAATTTTATTTTGAAAAGCAATAACAGGATGAAAATGCTTATGAAAAGATTATGTTAAGCTGTGCCTATTTCTGCTGATTTGTATAAAAGAGAAAGCTATGATTTGCAATCTGACTAAAATATAGTATGTGTTAAATTGTATACAAAGACTCAATTAGTATGATTGCATAATACTTCACGTAATATATCATATTTGGTTAAATATTCCATTTTATTTAACATTAGGTTGTTTTGAACATTTTTCATAGAATTATATTTTTTTCTTATTTTCTATTTTTAATTATTAAAAATAGGACATCTGTACTTTCATTTATTTGTAATTTAAGTTTTGACAAACCTAAAAGTGTCATTTTTAATCGATTCATTATGACTGATCATCATAGGCGGTCAGAATAATTCAAGGCAGGCTGTTTTATTAGCTAAGAGATTTGCTTAGCAACCTAATGTTGCTACAGTTTCCTTTCAGAATCCGGGTTATAAACCCCAGGCTCTTATAGCCTAACACAAACTTCAACAGAGATGGACACTTGAGCTTTAAAACTGAAGGAATATTTATTATTATAGGGAGATGAAAAAGCTTAACGTTTCCAAGAGTCTAATGTTTTCAAAACACTCCCAATAATCAAGTGCATGGAGAACGAAAATCCTAAAAGTTAAAATAATCCAAAATTAAAGGGCACATATACTTTGATATTTTTCATTCTAAACACAATTATTAAAAATCATAAGATAAATGAAATTGCCTTCTACAGACATTTATTGTTTGGAGATTAAGTCACTAAATTAGCTCTTCTCTAAATGAATCTAATTGCAATCTGCTACATCTTACAAAATGTAGTGAAATGGATACCATTTTAAAGGTGAGTTAATATGAGTTAAGGATGAGTCACCACAGAAAAAGGTTTGATATTATTTATTTACTATTTTACTGCATATTATTTACTATTTTCTAAATATATTTCTTGTATTAAAATTAAAACTTGTGGGCAAATATATTTGTTTTTATAAAAATTTCCCTTACAGTTAGTACAATGTACAGCATGGCTACTTGTAAGCTCTAGCCAGAAAGACCTCTACTCCTTCCTCCCACCTCCTTACACTTTTTCCCATGCTTGGGACATGGATTACTTCCTAACCCAAGCCTCTTAACTCTTCCCATAAGCTTAGGGAGATCCAGGCCAGTCTCCTGCTATTCCCCTCCTTCAAATTCAGAAATGATTCAGAGCTAGGCCAGCCTGGCAGAGCACTATAAAGCAGAGCGCTAAGAAGAAAGGCTAAAATTGCCCTCCAGGTATCCAATAGCTCACACACTATTGGAGACACAATCACATTTATCACAAACCCTGAGGGGAGTGCTACATGGAGTTGGAAGCATATGGGGTGGCTCTTTTTCTGTGAATTGAGAGTGACCACCTTCAAGGTCTCTTAGCTGTGACCATCTACAATTTTCTGAGCCCACTGGAATGACAAAGAATCTCTTCCTTGACAACCAAATTCTATCAAGCTCCTCTAGGTTCTTTGTTCACATAGGTGATGTCATTGGGTATATCTTCAAGAGTTTTGTAGTCAAACACTGAACAGATACTACTGTGGTGAACAGAGAATTTATTAATTTCACCAACTTAAGGACATAAAAAATACTTATAAAAATAGTTACAAAAACAAACATTAAAAAATTTTAAGCATCTCTTGATCAGCTTCTCAGCTCAGCTTAATGAACTAGGAAAGGAAGGAGGGCATTTTCCCCTGCAGCAGAACCGCTATAAAAGAACAAGGCAGGGAAGGGTACCAGAATATACCACCCCAAAATATGCCTCTTTAGCACATGGATTATTTTGAGCTAAAGGCCATTGAGAAACAGCAGATGCAGGAAAAGCTCTAAACATAAAGCACAGTTTTCCTTTTGTAAAGAAAATTTACATTTATAAAGGAAATTTCCATTTGTAAAAGGTCTCTTCCTCTCTGTAGCAGGAAGTGGAGGACTCTTAACAACTCTCAACAATGGAAAAGGCACTGACTTCAATCTGCATAACAAACCTTACTAACCAATTCTTATTTGCCATACTTCTCCTGGTCATCATTCCATAGCTCCCTCTGTGATCCAGAAGCCCAAAACCCCTTTTCCTTTGATTAGCCTAAGATGGTACATAGGGCCAAGTTCTAACCATGCCTTTGGGGTACTCATCGCTGGATGCTCCCATGTATGTGCAATGCACATTTATTAAAACTTCTGTTTGTTTTTCTCTTGTTAATCTGTCTTTGCCAGTCTAATTTATAGGAACCCAGCTGGAGACCCTAACATGGATAAAGAAAAAAGGATTTTTCCCCTTCCCCTACGGCAAATACAGTGCTTTCCATTAACAATGTAAAGTTTGGCGGGGATACTTCTCAAAGCATGAAATTATTAGATAGCTAGCATGGAATTCCGGGTCTCCTAGGGATGAAAGTGGGCGCTTTGTTTTGGTGCAATTGTCCTACCTGGGAAGAAGGACAAGGGTGGGCCCCAGGTCCCTATCTTGGTCCTGCCCTACCTTGATCCTGCCCTGAGCTACTGCCATACCTGAGGGAGGAGGGAATACTCTATGAATCTGCCAATCAGAACTCAGCGCACCAACTACAGAAGAATGCAGAGGACTCTAGTCCACGGGCCAAGCAGCATAGGTACCATAGAGTCTGGCAGTGACCTAGAACACCCCATATGCATAGTAAAACTCAGGTAATGCAACCCCCAACTGTCCAAAGTGGTTCCATGGTGACCTCTGAACCACGAGGGAGGTGCCAATCCAGGCTCTACAAATAAGATGCAGATCATAATCAACTCCTTTTTTGCCCTTCCTTTTGTTCTCCCTTTGTTGCAACAGTGGGTCCGGTCATTATCTGTGGCCTATGTATCATGCTGTCTCTGTAAATCTATATCTTGCTCTTGCTCTATAATCCTATCTCTCTCTCTTTAATAAACCTCATTTTTGTGCTAGCCTTACCTTTGGTGCATCTGGTCATTCTTCAGCCATGAGTACATCAAGAACTGACATTTCAGACTGAAACCTGACACACTGACCCCCAAAAGACTAGTAGCACAAATTTCAGTCTTTGTGGTTAATAATAAAACCAAATAACTCTAGCTTGCAAACAAAAATAAAGCAAATATTTCACACAATGGAGCTATGTTCACTTATCAATTTACCATCATGGTAGATGGTCCACACTCAGCTAGTTACCCTTTCCAAGCCTCAATTTCATTTTCTAAAATCACAGATATCACCTGGTCACAGCTAGGTCAAGGATTGATATGTCGCAGGGTCTCAGTAAACATCAATTGTGTCTCCTTTTACTATACATACAAATATAAATTACATAGCAGTTTGCTCAGGTAACAGGTATGCAAGTGAATTTTTTCTTGTGTTTCACTGTTTGCTAACTCATTTCTAAGGTTTCTCTAGGGCCCCCTTGGCCAAGAGGGAATCTGTTGTGTCAGTTGGGAAACTAAGGATTTTATTTTTATTTCCCGTTTACTCCTTTTGGCCAAGAGGCAGCATCAATGCCCAAACTATTTATCTTGTCTCATTGTGGCCAAGGTAGTAATGGCTACCTGCCCCAAATCCATCCAGGCCCTTGGTGGGACTGCTGTGACCACAGGACTTAGAGCCCAAAGGCTAATAGCAAATTAAACATTCTAGGCCAGACAAGAATGGAGGTGGGCAGGTAATCATTAGCCCTTAAAAACCTTTTAAGCAACATAGCCAAAAACCAAAAGTCAAAAGCAAAGTTATAAAGTTAACTTATCTATAAACATTGAACTACAGTAATTTTGGTCTTAGTTACAGACTGGCAGCAATTAGCTATTATGAAATAAAATAAAATTTTAAGGTTCACCACCCCCCACCAGCTGACTGAATGTCCCTCGTGGCCAAAGGAATATCCTCAAACTAAAATGTCTGCCAGGAGGAGTGAGGTCAGACATGTCTCATCATGCCCCCCTCCCTTCTTGGAGACATCCTTTGTAACCCATTAACAAGCCTGAGGGTATGCAAGACAAACCTGCAGGTCCTCAATTTACACAACAAATCTATGTCAGGTGGCTTATCTCTGATGACAGCTCCTTATGTTGAAACATTCCAAGCCTTTAGACAAAGCTTCATGTCTTTAATCAATTACATG